CTTTCCTGCTTATGCAGGGGGTCGGACTCGATGATCTATTGAGGTCCCTTCCGACCCTAACATCTATGAATCTATGACCCAGTTTTGCTTGGGAATTTCCAGGGCATGCAGGCTGCCTACACTCTTGTGCCATAAAGCAAGCAGATGTCTACTGCAATAAAGCAGCAGAAACTATTACCACCCTTGTCACAGCCACAAACATTGGGCATTCATGGATGTCTGTTTGCTGGGCCTTTGAGCGTATATTAATTACCTTTGTAGCAATAGGGTGTGGCCCACGGTGGTCCCCCTGCTTTCCCTATGGGAGGTTAGGGGGTTATGTATTATGTTGTGTTAGGATTAATGGTAGTTTTACTAAGAGTTTAGATGATAGATATGTAAAGGATGATTGAATAGGGGTGATCTGGCCTCAAGCAGGGGGCTGGACTAGACCTCTGAAGGTCCCTTCCAGCCTGACTTCTCTATGATTCACATCCTCAGCTGGCAAAAATAGACTCAGTGCCATTAACTTCAGTGAAGACACAAAGGGCCCAGCCTGGTTCTCAAAATAAAGCTTTAGTAGGGCTTAGGGCAGATTAAGTGATGATGCCTTGAAGGCATGGCGGCTGGCTGTTCTGTTCCTATTTTGCTTGTAGACTGGCTTGCAGTCTCAGCTGTAGAGCAGCACGGCCCTGCTCATCTCAGTGAGAGCTGTTGCAACCAAGTCAGCCAGATGAGGACCTGAACCAGTGCACCTGGGCAAGCCAGGGACAAGCCTAATGCTTCTGAGAGTGCTGGTGAGAACAGTGAATGAGCAATGTCAAACAGCTCTTGCTTGTAGATTTTGGTCTTGTTTGAAGCCTTTCACCTTGCATTTTGGTGGTTGTACAGCACCTGTAGTTTAAAAGGTACTAGGGTCATAGGTGAGAGAACTTTCTCACAAAGGCAAATACTGTCGTAGGACACCCAGGTTGTAATTAGGAGTGCAGGTCAGCAGGCTCCAGCTTGACCACAGCGGGCCACAAGAGCACCTTCTTCCTGATCATATTCACCGTGGTTTTGATCAAGTAATGTTATAGCCTGTGTTGAGGAGGTGAGCAGCAAGAGTGCCAGCACTTGTAAGATATATTCCTCCTGTACCCGTCGCTGAGATGTTCTGAGACTCCCACACCTCTTAGTACTTAGGACAGGTACAGACATTATAAATACTTTTACCCATATAAGCAATCAGAAGCTGGTCTATACCCCTACCAGAACAGAAGTTCAGCACACAGACTGGCATAAAAGTGGCAGAGCCCAGTCTAAGATTTGCCCCGTCCCCGCAACCAAAGGGCAAATATGTGTCCTGTTGGCTACCAATCTAAACTATACCTCTTACAGAAAACTGCATAACCTAGCTTGATTCTGCCTCAGGCTTCTTGAATGTCTCTACCTAGCCTTATAGTCTCTGAATTTGGGTTAGATCCTCCTATTGGCTACCTGTCAGGAACGATTAGGATTTTCAGATTTAGAGATGCTAAGTTATCAGGCTGCTCATGTTTAGTAAACTGCTAAGTATCAGATTGGGGAAATATATCTAGCTACATCTGTGGATGCATTATCTGAACTGCATTATCCTTTATTTGCCAGCAATATTCAGAGTCGGAGAGTTCTAATAAAGTTTTCTGTGTGCTTACTTCCTTAGCAAAACGAATCCTCTGAGAACAGGGACTGGCAAAAGCAACTCTTAGGCCCCTGGATCTCCTGGGAAAAGGGAGGCATCAATATATTATTGCCTTGGAAAGAAGAGTGTTGCCACACCCCAAGCAGTGCTTGGGTCTTGATTGCTCATCAGTGCTTGGGTTCAGCGTATTAGTCCTCTTAGGAGAAATAGCAGCAATGTATTTATTTCTCCAGTGCCCCAGTGTGTTTTAGCTCTTTAGAAGAAGGTAGGAGGCATGGTATCCATGTGCATCAGACCTTTTGCAGTGTGGAGATTGTTACCTTTCTGATAGGATGAATTCTGAACACCTGTTCTTTCTACTTCTCAGCCTTCATAGAAATTTTGGGTCACAGGTGGCTTGGGGAGCCGTGTGCATGAATTGCTGAGTTGCCATAACATGCCATGTCGGGTATGTTTGCTTTTCTTTATGTAGATTGAGCTCCCTGACCTGGGCCCAATTTATAAGGTTCGGATATGGCATGAGAAGAAGACTCCCTTCTCTGGCTGGCATCTACACAAGGTGAGAAGACAAGCTTTCAGGCACAACCTTCCTTCCACTTCCAGTTGCAAATGACTGCTGTCCCCAAGCAGGTCATAATACAAACTGCTTAGTGTATTAATGGGTTAGCAGTAGTCTGGTAATAGAAGTCGGCAGTGTGATCTCCATTTACAGACTGCTCAGGGTGAGAGAGTCTCCGATGCAGGTGGATGCATATCCCTTAGCACAACACAGCACAGCTACACTGGGGTCACTGCAGGCATTTGTCCTACCCTGAAGAAAATAGAGGTAGCCCATGGCAGAGTTAGTGGACTAGCTATTGATCCACTGCTTCATCCTCTCACATGAAGCAGAGGTGCAGGCTTTGTTGTAGGTACCAGGAGAATGATACCCCTGCTCTTCCTTGGCTTTTCTTTGCTTCTCAGCAAGTCCTCCAGTGTAGAGCCCAGACACTTGCATTGTTCATTTGCAAGAAAACTTACCCTCTCAAACCATCCCTCCCTGAATCATAAGTGGTTATTGAGGTGCTGTGCTCAGGCCTTGACTGTGCATCAAAGGGGAGGGGGGTTGGACAGAAAAGTTCCCCTTGTTGTCCATTAAGGAAGCAGCTAGGCCATTGACTGTCCCTGCATTGAGCCCTCTCCAGTTTGTGCTCTACCAGGAGGATGATTTCCCTGATGCCAGGACTCTGAACTAAGGGAAGAGCATGCTGTGCGTGCTGGGGTGGGTGTCACAATCCCAAGGCCTCCCTACTGGCTGAAAGTCAATGTTACCCCCAGCAGTTAAAGCTCTTGGATTTTGCTTGCCATCGGACCACTCTGAGGTACATAAACTGCTCCAACCTCTACCTGAGCCTATTTAGCATATAATGAACTTTTCCAACCAGGAGATCTTACACCACCTTTCAGCTGTCCTGTGAAATACAAATGTTCATTTCCACCTGTGAGAATTTTACCGTCTTTGCACCCTCCTATGCCTGGGGAAGGGCGCGTGTGCGCAGAAGTTTGCAAGTAAAGAATTTTTTTTGCAACTATCTAGTTGGTCTAATAAAAGGGATCACCTCCCCAAGACCTCTGATTACTTTACGTTTCATATAGAGTTATTACTTCACTCTAAAGTAAGTAGTCCAGCCTCCACTGCAGGACACTGGGATTTGAGGACTGAGCTGAGTCCTCTGCTCTTTTTGAATGTGGATGTTAGATAGCAATGAGCAGGCAGGGGACCCTGATTACCCCTTGTAGCTCTTAATGTGGTGGGTAAGCCATGGAAGAATGATGATGGCCAGAAGCCAGCAGTCTTTGCGTGCGGCAGTAGGTGGCAGTGCCCTACAGCCTAGACTTGATGTGGAAGGGGTACCTTTCTCCATCCCCTCTTCCACAGACACGTATATCCCCTTTACCTGCTGCATTCCTTTAGTTTTTTTCCTGGGGCTTTCAGACACAAGTCTTTTAAGTAGCAGGATTAGCAAACACCTCCCCTGCCTATTTAGGCTGCATCATAAAGGGAAAAAAAAATCCTAACAAGGGGATGAAGTTGGAGTGTAGCGCAGTTTTGAAAGGCAACTTGCTGGAAGCCCTGTCCCTAGAGTCACGTACCTCTTGATGGAGAGGCTGCGCTGCACTCCACATCACTGAGCCATCTGGGAGAGAGACGTCTCTTGACTCGTCTCTTATTTCTCTCATTCAGCCAGCGCCACTGCTGCTCATTGGTTAGCCAGCAGGAAGATATTCATTCAGGGAAGTATCAAGCTCGTTCCCCCATGACTTCAACACTGATTACAAAGCAGTCGACCTTTACTAGCTATGAAGACTTGGAGCTTCATCCTCCCAACGGAGCAAAGCAGCCTGGTGTCGCTGCATCTTCAGACCTGCTCTGGAAGGCTTGGAAGTCTGTCTTTGTGCTTCAGAAAATATTCCGTGGTGCTTTCTCCATTATGAAAACCTGCTCTTTACAGTTTTCTTTCAGGTCTTCATAATGGAGAAAGCATTACTTTCTTAATGAGACGTGGCAAGTGCTGTCCTCTTCGACTCTGAAGATGCTGTAGAGCCACATGCAAGCTCCAGTTGAGCTATTGAGCAGTAAAGCATTGGTTGTACACACTCCTGAGCAACCATCTCTGCTTGTTCATACTCCATTCGCCTTTGTTGGCTGTTGCTTTCTCTCTTGACGGGAAGGGAGCATTGTCCTGCAGATCTCCAGCTCCTGCTTTGACAGTCAGAAGGGCCCCATTGTACCCTCCACTGCCTGCTGCAGGGCAGACAAGAATGTATCGTCCTTGTACTGACAAAAAGCAAGGCCAGTGTGAGACAGGGAGTGTGATTCTGTGGTCCCGTGGTTATGACATCCCTTGGCAAGAGAGGGGCGTGGGTTTTGGTCTCTGCTACCAAGACTTTTGTGTAAAAATCAGGAAGCCGTTGGTTTAAAAACCCCCACAAAACAAGCCCAGCAATGAGGACCGCAACCCCGGACTTCCCAGCGGCCAGGTTCAACAGGAGGGATGCTCCCCTCCAGCCCCCAGCCTAAGGTATCACTTGGTAATTAGGTATCCAGGTTGTAGCTGTATTGATCTAGAGGCAAAAGGAATCAGAACTCGTGGTAGAGGTGATATCTTTTATTAGACTAACTCGTTTTTTGCAAAAAAACCATTTCTTTAATTGCAAGCTTTCAGCCGTAAGTACCCTTCTTCAGGCATCAGAGAAAAGATTGTAAAAGTCCTCCTGGGTAGAAACAGAAGTTCATATTCCAGAGGAGAGTTGAAGGTGGTAAAATCGCCTGTTTGGAGCAGTTCATTTTCTATGCAGATTATACTCGGAGAAAAGTTGGAATAGTCTGCTTACCTGGAAGTTGTTGGGTGGCAACCAGGATGTAGTCGTATTTCCTTCTGGTCATGGTGTTTCATATTTCACAGAGGAGTAAAAAGGTGGAATGCTCTTTTGGGCAGACTATTCCAACTTTTCTCTGAGCCTAATCTGCATATTTAATGAACTGTTTCAAACAGGAGACTTCTCTGATGCCTGAATAAGGAGGGTGCTTGTGCCTGAAAGCTTGCAATTGAAGATTTTTTTTTTTTTTTTTGCAAAAATCTAGTTGGTCTAATAGAAGATATCTCCTCTACCATGAGTTCTGATCCCTACTTGGTAATTAGGGCAACCTTCTGGGAAGCAGGAGATGTGGATCCAAAACCTCCTTAAGCTGAGCTGAGCCTAGAGCCCCAGGACCCCTAAATGATTTGGCCCAAAGTGGACAGCCCCACTGCAGCTGTTCAGGAGTGAATAGGTGTTGTCAGTGCTCCTGCCAGGTACTGGCACCTCCCTTTTGAACCACCTAGATCCCACAAGTGCCTTTCTCACCGCTGTGGGTCTGACACTTCTGTCCCGAAGAGGAAGAGGTCAAACCTACCCTTGTATGTAGCCTTTGTGGCTGAGTGATGGGGGGATCTGGATTGCCGTTGCAAGGCCCGTAAGTCTCCCCATACACGGTACAGACAGCTTCAGCATCTTAAGCTGTCAGATAGGGTTCAGGGCGGCTACATTTTAGGTGTTGCGATTCCTAAAATGAGGAGGTGCCTTAGAGGTCAATTAGGATCTTATTCCCTGCATCTTTTTTGTCTAGGGCTGTAATCTTTTCAGGCCATGCGTAGCCCTTCAGACACAGCGTTTTGCCTGACTCAATAACAGAAACATCATGGGCACATATTTCATTAATGATCAATAGCTTTGAAAACAAAATTTTCCCAATTTTCCTCAAATCTCCCCCTCCTCCCCCCTGTTTGGGGAGCATGGGGGGATGGGGGGATTGGCCAAACAGCTTTGCCTGGGAAGGGGGAATGGGGAGGTTGGAGAAGGAAAGGGATGAAAAGGACTCTGATTAACAGACATTAATCTCCTTTATTCTGGATGATCTTCAGACAGCAGCTTGATAAATGCAATGTAAGAATAGGGTTTCTAATGTTTAACATGTATTCTTTCATTGTTATGACCTACCCTTCCTTCCCAGGCAAAGTGTATCAGAAACTAGGGGTGTTTTTTTTTGTCTTTACATCTGTGAACTCATGTGGTGTTTTGGTTTCATTAAGGTGACTCTGCTGAAAACGCTGACAAAAGAGAAATATACATTCAAATGCGACCGCTGGCTAGATATAAATGAAGACGACAATGAGATCGTGAGGGAGCTCCCTGCAGAGGGACCGCTGGTGACTGAAGTCATGCCATGTAAGAATGAAGAACTCTTTCTGACGGCTTGCTTAGTGACTGAATAGAAATAAGTCTTCTTTGTCTAAGAGACACACAGATAGACCTGGGCAATTCAATTAGTTGCTTTTTCTGGCTCCGGTTCTACAGTATTTTGTGTGTGCATCATTAACTGCATAACACATTAGAAATGCTAGGCTTGGTTTTGAGCAGGCTTATCTTTAGCTGGAGATGGGAAAGATGAGGCCAGAGCCTTGCTTTTCTCGGTGCATTTTAACATGCAAAGCACAAGGCTGGAATAAACAGACACGCGTGTGCATGCATGCACATCTACACACACGCGCATGCACAACGTATGCCTACTGGAAATGGGCTCTAAAACATAATCATGATTTTTCAGTTTCAAGGTTCTAGTTAAGGTTTATAATTGTGTGTATATGGGCAAAAACGCTACACAACACAGTGGGCACCTTCCCCAGTGCATGCAACAATTCATATAAGTGGTTACCATCAAGCTTTAGTGAAGGAGCCTGAAAGGACTGCTTCTATTCACAAAGGATTGCTGCCTCCTGCTTTTAGTAGCAAAGCATTCAATACCCTCTCTCCCAGGGATGTGAGAAGATTTACTTGCACATGCAGGGACACTTTCCTGGGGAGTGGATTAGCCTGGACCTGCCTGCTGGGGAGGCTTCTGCCCCTTTCTCTGCAGTATCTTGTGCTGCCTGCTGGCAGAGATGCGGTCCTGTGCTCAACAGACCATGACTCTGTTATGAAAATTCCCATGAACTCCATGATCTGTATGCAGCCGAGTTGCTCCTCTGATGATGAGGAATAATTGTAATTGCAAATGTTATTAAAATGTAAATAAACTTTTTAAAAATATATTTTTAATCAACGAAGAAGAGGTCGCTCATGTTTGAAAATGCAGGCATTTTCCTCTGAGGGAGCAACTTGTACTGGGCACCAGCAAGTCGTGATAAACCCGAGGAAGGCGTTTTGCTTCTGCTGTTCACCCAAGTGCCAAGATGGACAGTGGTTCTCAATGTTTTTAGACTTAGGGCACCTGTTGAATAATGCCAGCTCTTAGGTTTCACTCATTGTTTGACTTTGGAAAATGAATAGAGCAATTCTTCTGTTGCAAAGAGCTCAGAAGGATCACAGCAGGTTAACAGTATGGCTTCCTATTTGAAATCTCTGGGTTTATCTTGTGATGCATGTTTACACACTTTGCACTGACAACGTTGTGCGGCATCCCACCTCACCCTGGTTGAGAATCCCTGATCTAACAGGCTGCATGTAGGTGTGTAAGGATTTCTGATTCAGGCACTGCCCTAGGGAAGGGGCTGTGGGTAAACTGCACCAACCCCCAGACAGCCCCCGGAGTCATATTTTATTCCCTGTGTCCTCCTTGATCCTGGGAGGCAGCAGTGTATTGTTGGGTTTTGGCAGCCAGCAGACACATCTCTAAAGGCCCTGCTTTAATCCTATTCCTGGGAAAAATCCTACAGTCTTTGTGTATGGAAGGTCAGACTAGAAATGATCATTGCAGTCCTTTCTGGTCTTTGTGTCCATGAATCTATGAATAAGCAGTGAATCATTACCTGACTTAGCTACTTAGGCCTGTGTATTACAGGCATAGAAAATAGCCCACTTATTATTTGCAAGTTCTCTACCTTTTCCCATCCGCCTAAGGGAATAGGTGGCATGGTGGTGGCCCTCTCTGGATCCAAGGCTGTGGTAGCCTCTGTTAGAGTTTATGAGGAGTGAATTTACTGCTCGTTCCCTTGCATATGCACGTACTCTAAGTCACAGTTTGTCACTAATTGGGCACTTAGTTGCATAAGTGCCCATTGATTGACTTCATCTACATTAACATTATTTGGGAGACCTTGGCCAAATCACTTATCCCCTCTGCCTTATCTTTTCCTTTTTGTGAAACTGAGCTGAGGTCATTTTTACCTCAATGGGGCACAGAGGCTTAATTCATTCATACATATAAAACACTTAGAGATCCTCGGGTGCAAGATACTGCAGGAGTGTCTCTTACGATTGCTACTACTTCTCATGTAACACATGTGAGGATTATGGGCATTAGCTGGGCTTTATTAATATGTGTATAGATATGTGGTGTATGTGCAGACCCCTGTGGGCTGGATGAATACCAGGGATTCAGGTTTTTCATTTCCCATGGAAAAACAGAAAAAAACCATGGATTTTTCATTTTAAGAGAGAAACACACGGATTTTCCACTTTTGCAAAGAGCTCTTTGCAGGTGGGCAGAGCTCCAGCCTGCGAGGGGCTGGGGGGAGCGGGAGGAGGGCGGTCAGACAGGTGGTGCCATGTGCATATGCACGCTCACACATGCACATGGCCGCCAGGCAGCTTGGAGAGCAGCTCCTGCAGGTCAGTCTGGAGGGGGAGAGGAGGGTTGAGGCCCCCATGGGGAGGGAGGGGGTGAGCTGGGCAGGGCTGGGGCTGTGGCTGCTGCCCAGTTCAGGTGGTGCATGGGGCTTAGGGCTTGCAACTGTGTGTGGCCACAGGGCCCAGACAGGGAGTGGGACAGGGCTGTGGGAGGCTTGTCTGGGGGGTGGGGAGGGCTGGCTCCCTGCTGCTGTGTGCACTCCCATGGTGCAGGGGGGGCATGTACCCCCCAGATCGGTGCGTGGAGCAGGGGCAGGGGTAGGGACAGGTGCAGGCTGCCTGCTGCAGGCTTGGGCTTCCCATTTTGCTGCCCTCCCACCCTCCGGGGCCTCCACAGCCCTGGCACAGCAAGTCAGAGCAAGGTGGAGAAGCTCCTTGCTGCCACTGGGAGCTCTGTGCCACCCTGGCAAGGCACCCCATGCCCTCCTGGCAGCAGTGGGGGTGGCAGTGCAGAGTTGTACCCCTTGCTGCTGCTGGGCAGTCAGGGGGCACCTCACCATGGCGGCATTGAGCTTCCCCACCCAGCCCCACTATGCCCTGCTGCACCAGGTCCTGCTTGCTGGGTTGTGGAGGCCCTATGGGGAGGGCAGCAGGGCAGGGAGGCTGAGTCCAAAGCAGGCAGCCCGTCCCCACTCCCCCACACAGGATCAGCTCCTGCCATGCCACCCGTGGGGGAGGGGGAGCCGGGCTCCATCGCAGCAGCTGCTGCCTCCAACAGGCAGCAGCTGGGGCTTGGGTGCTGCTGTGGGGGGCAGGGGATGGCAGAGCCGGGTCCCTGGCTTCATAGCTCTGGTAGCTGGGGGCCCCCTCCAGCAGGGCTGGGAGGTCTGGGGGCTGTGGGTGGGGATTGAGGGGCACCAGCAGGGCTGGGGGCTTGTGGCTTAGGAGTGAGGGGTCTGGAATAGCGTCCTGATGAGCAAAGGGGGCCGGGGAAGCTCTGATTTTCCATAATAAAAAAACCAAAGTCAACTACAGGCAGTCTTTGGACTTACAATACAATTGGTTCCTGAAAACCGCATCTTAAGTCGAAACATTGTCATTCGGAAATGATTTTTCCATAGGCAGCAATGTTATAAATGGGGGATTGGTTCCTGAACCAAGGCCTGATCCCCTATTTTTACCAAAAATACCCCAGAATTTTGTACTCAATCAATTATAGATGAGGAATATGGGTACATTAATGTATTTATATTGTAAATGGCAATTATATTGATTTGGAAGGACTTCTTTGAGGTGACTTTGCTGGACTTTTTGGAGGACAATTGGCTGGAGTCTTCTCAGGAGTCTCGGCTGCTGGTTTTTCTGGAGTCTTGTCTGCTTTCTTAAAGAAAGTGTCCAAGGAAATTTGGACAGATGCTCTCCAGGGAGATGGGTGACGCAGCCAACTTGTTTGCTGGTGAAGCATCACATCGGATCAAGTGTCTCGTAAAGTCAAAACTGACCTCAGAAAGTCGAAACAGGGTGTCAATTTATAAACCTCGTAAATGCGAAATGTTGTAACGCGAAACATTGTAAGTTGAGGACTGCCTCTACCAAAATTTATAGGTCCTTAGAATTTATTTTATTATAGTGATTGAGGCACTTGTAGGCTTCCAAATTGCTTTAAAATTGTAAATATCAATAAAAGATTGAGTTCAAGTGATACCTATGTATATAGTGGCATTTCATTTTAATCATGGATTTGGGGGCTTTAATCGGAAAATTTGTGATTTTTATCAGAGAATTTGTGATTTTTAAGCAGAGAAAACCAGGATCCCCTGGCAATTACTGTGTTGCTAGCAAAAGAGTTAAATTGACCATTATTATCTTTTAATTAAATACAGACCAATAGCTGTAGACCCCTTGATGGCCTGGGCTCAGGCAGGCAATGGAGGAGACCATTCTTTTGAGGCTTACTTCTCCTAATATGAAATCTTTGCCTGTGCCTGGTGTTCAGACCAAAGGAGTGGGCAGATTCCACCTTAACGCTCGAGAGGCTTTCAGGTGGGACTTCTCCAACGAAGAGCTCAACAGCCATTTAAAAACAAGTCTTTGAGGAGATGGGGAAAAAGGTTGTAGTTTGGTCTTGAGAAGAACAGGAAGCAGAGGATGCCAACACCAAGTCCTGCCCTTGTATTTGCATGAGGCAAATGCTACGTTTAAGTTAGACTGTGTAAATGAAAGAGTAGGGATTTGAACCTGGGATTCCCAGGTTAATTGTCTAACCCAGTGCTTCTCACCCCTGTTTAGATTCAGGGCACCCTTCTGTAACCTTGAAAACCACTTCCCTAACTCTGGGACATGCTTCCTCTCTAAAGTGGTATAACGCAAGACTGTAAGTGGGAGATTGAAAGCCCCCTGCATAACCCGATGCTGCAGATTTATAATATCTAGTACAGGTGTTCAGGCTCCTCATCATCTAGGAACTTAACTTGAAGAGTCCATTTTATTTTTTAAACTCTTCCTCTGCTGCTCCTGTTTTCATGGAGGAATACATATGACTTTAGTTTGACGAGCTGTCCTCAAACACTGCATGTTCACCCAGGCCCCTGCTTCTAGGGTCTATGGCAGGGCACAGGTTGTATGGGTTGGTGCTGATGATGCACCCTAGAATCAGGCTGAATCATGGGAGTCCAAACCGAGAGAGGTGCTGGGTGCATGTGGAAAAAGGGCTTAGGGGATAGCACTCAAAACTCTGGCTCACCCCTGAAGTAACAGGGCTAAGTATGGCTTGGGTTTTCAGCAAGGGGCAGAACCATGGGATAGACTGTGTCTTTGAGAGAGTCCAAGGTACATCTATGCCCATGGGCAGATCTAGGAATTTGAGAAGTGGGGTGCAGGAGATGCCACCAGTGCTGCAGAAGTGGATGAAGCCCTTGACCCTGGCAGGCAGATTCCATGTGGCAGCAGCTGCCAAGGACTTTTCTGAGTCCCTGTAGCAGGTTTGACTCCTTCCCCCCTCAGCTCTGGGCACCCACTTCCTTTCCCTTCTATTTCCCACCTTCTCCTCTGCAGCAGAGTTTTTTCTCCTGGAGCAGAAGGGGGAACCTGCCCACTGATGCCATTGTCCCTGGCTGACCTGGGAGTAAGGGAAGTCCCAGGGCTGCTCCTGCCCCACTTGTGCTAGGGCTTCTGTGAGTGGCAGCACGAAGTACTGGGTTTTCGGGGCCAGTGGCAGCAGTAGGTGGGTCCCCCCGCTTCCAGGACCTGCTTGCTGCAGAGATCCACAGTTCCAACTGGGAGCAGATGCTGGAAGGAACCGTCCAGCACTACTGCCATTGCTGTCCCAGCCCAGCACCCTGCAGAGCTGCTCCCTTCATTTGGAGCCCTTGGGCCAGTGAGGGAAGCATAGTGGAAAGGAGGGGAGCCAGGACCCTGCTGCTGCTGCAGCCACAATGCCCAGCCCAGCCAGTGGGAGACACCCCAGGGGGCTGTGGCAGAAAGGCACAGGAAGGGAGAACCTGTCTGTTGCTGCTGCTGTCCCCAGCTGAGCCCAACACCCCATGCAGTCAATCACTGCAGCCCTCAGCTGGAGCAGGGCAGGAACAGTCCTGAGGCTTGCCCTGCCCCTGGGTCAGCTGGGGACAGAAGGTCTGGCAGGCAGACCTTTCCTTACCTGCTCCCTGTTTGGTCTCCCCAGGTGTCCCATGCCAGCCACAGGAGACCCACACACCTAGAGTGGGAATAGAAACTTTTGGCCCGTGACTGGCATTGTGGACAGGGAGTGCAACTGTGTCAGTACACTCCCCCCACCCCTGCACCCCTACCTGCTGCCCTGGATCTGTCTCTGTCCGCATCTTGGCAGCAAAATGTTAGGTTTCACTGGGAGCATCTACATGTGCGTATTAGTGTGAAGCAATAAATTGTGGAGCTTATTGCTCTGGGTGTGCTCTTTGAACATTGCTCCCCACAAATCCATGTGTTGCAGAGGGGCTGGCTGGGGCATGAGGGTGCTTCAGCACAGGGCTAGCTGGCAGGCAGCCCCAGTACACGTGTGATGCTGCTAAGTAAAAAACTCTGCAGTACGGTAGTACTTGCATTTACAAGTACTACCCCGCTGCAGAGTTAATTAGTTTACTCCAGCCTAATAGAGGCTTATGTATAGACGTGCAATGTCTCATTGTAGACACTCCCACCATTGGGGCAATAAGTCCCATTCACTGGCTTTTGCTCTCCATGTGTCAGCCCTGGTAATGTGGTGGGGACAAATGCTTGGGATAGGTGACCTCAGGGGTCACTTTATCCAACCCCCTCAGAGATGCAGGATGGTGTATTCCCAAATCATCCCAAACATATATCTTATGGCCTGTTTCTAGGCCATTCCTGTGACTGGTTGACTGATTTGCAAAGAACAGGAAAAACATACTACTGAGGAAACCTCACGCTCACCTCTATCTTTCTAAAAGGTATAGACTTGTGCATTTGGTGCATTCAACATCTCCAAGCCCTGAGGCTCTTTTTGTGAGTTTGCAAGGATATTTCCCACCTGAATTCTTTGGGAACTACAGTTTTCCCATTCCAGCAAAAGTGATTGAAGAGTTGGTCTGCAGTTTTTAACCAAAAGGATGAACAGTTGCGTGTGCTTGCTTTGATGCACAGTGTTTCTTTCCCTTTGCAGGTCTTTCTGTTATTTGTGCTTTTGGGGTCTGCCATTTTTAAAAACTGATAACCTGACTGGTGACATTAGAAATGTAAATGTCCATACATAAGCAAAATTACCTGCAGGAAGTGTGGGCTGTGAAGCTGAACACTTTCCAACTAATTGCAAATCTATGGAAAAGGCGCTAAACTTTAGGGACAATGAATTATATTGAAATTGCTTCATAATTTGTGTCTTCACAGTGATAAAATACCGAGTGACCGTCTGCACTGGAACGTTAAGCGGGAGTGGGACAGATGCCAATGTCTATGTCTGCCTCATTGGGGACCAAGGAGACACAGGGGACCGTTTCCTCCAGAACAGCATTAACACCACGAATAAATTTGAGAAAGGCAATGTAAGTTGGCACAACTGTCTCTTCAACTTGACTGAATGGGTTGATTGTTCTGTGTGATGGTTTGCTGCTTGTTGAAGCACTGTCAGCTCCATGGGACATGGGGTTCACGGGAGTTGTTCCCAGGATGGTTTAAAATATCTTTGATGTTATCTTGAGGTACATATTACACTGAGAGGTGAGAGCCACGGCAGCTGTGAAAGTTTCAGCTGCATCCCAATGCACAATTAGGATGCCTTGAGGGAATGGGGCTAAAGGAAAAGGTGAGCGTGGCAGAAGCATCTTGAGTGGTTTTAAGTCAAGGGAGGGCTAAGTGAGGAAAAGGAGGAGGAGAAAGAGATGCACTTTGTTTGGCAATAGATGGGGGGGGCTTTCATAGCATGCTTCAAGAAAGAGATGCCCATTAGGTCTCTGGCTAATGATGACTCTTGGGAAGGTGGTTTCTCAGAGAGGAGGAGCTCTAGGAAACTCCTCAGTCTGCTAAGGAGAGGGAGAGCGCCCCATGACAACTGACAGTAGCCTTAACTTGGGGAAGGGGGCTACTTGGGGCACCAGCCCTGGGTGCTGATTTAGAGGGGACATCATAATGGCAACCCCCAGTGAGCCGGTGCCACCACCACAGCCCATGTTGGGGGAGCTTGCACTAAAGGAGAAGCAGTGCATGCCGCCACTGGCTCCACAGACCGTGCAAGAAGGTAAGCATTTCCTCCCCTCGCCCCCTACTTCCACCTTGCAACACCCTGTGCATCAACATTTAAAGTTACACCTCTGAAAGCTGGTAGCTGGGCAGGAGAGGGCAGACCAGCCCAGCCTGCTGCAGATGAAAATGCGAACCAGGTCCTTCATGCGTTTAGCTTGCATTTTCCCTCTGTCCCACAAAGTTTCACACAGTTTTCACATCATCTTCATTCACACGGTTCTTTCCAGACAACGGTACAGGGTAGGTCCGTGGGCCTGCTTTGGTGCATGGAGCTGCATCTCCTGGCCCATGGGGCTTCCCATAGGTCTGGATATATGGCGGCGTGACGAATGCTGGCATCATTAATTGCAGTGGCTCTGGGAGCAATTAATGCTGCGAAAGTATGACCTGTGACTGCTTCCTTACCTCTAAATTTCCAGACCTGTGGGGAGATAACATGGCTCCATGGCCTGCAGATCAGATCTTGGTCACCCCTGGTTTAAACTGTTAGCACCTGGGACAGGATCAGACCCTGGGGTGGCCACGATGTGCCCTGGCAGCCACTTGGCTCCTGCCCCAATCCGGTTCCTTGGGTAACCTCCCGTCCCTCGGGTTCTCATTCCCTTAATTGTCAGCCAACCTCTTAAAGTGACATTAGTCTCCAGGTTTCTCTGCCCATTCCAGCTGCTTCAATCCCCATGCCCCTCCCACATATTTCTCTCCTAGTCCCCTGTGGGATGCTGTCTGTCTGCTCTCCCCAACTTCTCTAGCCTGCTTTGGCATGGACTGGGGGCACTGATCGAGTCCTCCTCCCCTCCCCTGTGTCAAAGTAACAGGGTTCAGGTCCCCTGTTACAATCCCAATTAGGCATCCTATAGAGAATTATTTGCAAAGCTGGTCACAGGATCACTCAGATCCCCATTTAGTGTTATTATAGATATGAAAAATTTCTAAGTGGAAAGATGAGAATAAAAAAAAAGCAATTTCCAAAACTGGCCCCTTACATTGCACTTGTGAAATCTGCTTCAGCACATGGGACCTGATCCTGCATTCCCAGGACTTCCAAGCTCCCACTGATATTCCTGGGACTGTCCAGTGCCCTGAAGTCAAGTTTTTCTTGTGTCCATCGAACCTGTGTTCCTGGACATAAGGCGGCATTTTCACACAGCCAAGCAAGCAGTCCTTGCAAACTGTGTGTGTTTGTTCACTTGTGCCATTTTTTTTTGCACTGCAGAGGTTTATAATCAGAATATGTTCACAAAATCATTTTGCAGACACCCTTTACAGGCTCAGTTCAGAAAAGTAGACCCAAAATATAAAGGGAAGCTTTAAAAATAAATGTGACGGGCTGTTCCAAGGGGTGCAGAATGTGTCAAATTTTTAAATTCAAGGAAAACTGCCTTTTTGAGATCAAACAGCAAGCTGAATTTTTTTTTTTTTTTTATTTTACTATTAGTCTTGAAGTATGTTTTTGTGATGTTCCAGGAAAAAAAAAAAGATGCTTGGTTCATGTCAGACAGAAAAATATGTTAAACAGATGATCACTAGGTTTTTCTTTCTTTTTTTTCCTGCTAAAAATGAGCTATACAGTAATTTGCATGGAATAAACAAGGAAAAATAGCAAAACTAAACTGGGAAATCAAATCATGCTGTAGGTGATTAATAACAGCCAGATGATATAAACTAAAATGGAAACCATTAATGCATAATTGTTCTTTTGGCAGGAGGGACAGAAAGCTGGTGAGTGAAACAGAAAGATAGAGAGGGCTTGATTCTGGCAAAACTTAGAGCTTTCCTAGTCCAAAAATGAACACCAGTTTAATTAAATCTATTTAATCCATTAATCAGTTATAAGTGCATTGAACTGAACCAGTGCAAATCTCTGACCTAGACCCCTTTTCTGCTTTTGCTTAAATGGGAAGCTTGTTGCTGCAGCTAAAACTAGGTAAAGCAAGAGTTAAGCCTATTTAAGTGCTTCTGTTTGAGGGGTCTGCCATGGTGTAGCTCCGTGGTTTCACTGGAGTTATCTGTGGATTGGAGACTTGATGAGTAGGAATAAGGCCCAGTGCTGAACCATGACTTCATTTGGTTTTCATAGAATCATAATTTTCATTGAAAATTAGGGCTAAAAAGGACCTCAGGAGGTCACCTAGTCCAGCGCCTCGCTCAAAGCAGAACCAGCCCCAACTAAATTGTTCCAACCAGGGCTTTGTCAAGTCAGGCCTTAAAAATCTCCAAGGACAGACTTCCACATTTTGGCCCAACCGTGTTGGGGCTTGAACAGTGGAGAAAGATTGATGGCTAGATCCTGCAGCTCTGCTGGATCTCACCCAAGCACTCCAATTCTGCTTTAATAGCTGAACATTTAGACATACATTTTGGTTGCCTTTTTTCTTTGAAAGGTTATGTTGTTTGTTGTTGTTATTTTAAATAAGTGCTGGAAGCAATGGTTGATACGTTCATCATGACTGAATGACTTGTAACCCTATCAGCCTGTCAGTGGGCTTACTTCCATAAGGAGGTACATCCCTGTGCTTTC